AAAATGAATCCAATTTTTTATTGGATTTTCTTTTTTTTGTTGTTCAGGGTCTCACTACATAGCCCACATTAATAGTGATCCTCCTGATTTCTGCCTCTCAAGTGCTGGGATTATAGGCGCGTGCCACCATGCCCAGACTCCACTGCCGGCTCAGCGCACCCGAAGGCGGGGCTAGCGTGGCAGGCTGAGCCAGGTATTGAACCCTCGCCCCTGCGCTTACGTAAGCAAGCGCTTAGTCCGCTGAGCCATACCGCCGGCCCTGAATCTAATTATTTTTAACATGGTGAAGCTCATTTAAAACATAGTGACTTTGAAATGATAAACACCAAAGTAGTTAACTGATATATGGGAATGGCACTCAGAGGAACTGAAGTTTAATAAATATGTGGGAGTCCTCAGCATAGAACAACGTTAGAGGGAATATGGAACAGGAAAGAAGGAGACACACACATGCATACACAGCCAGGTGTGGTAGCACACATCTGTAATTTCAGCACTTGGGAGGCTAATGCAGGGGGACCACCGTGAGTTCAAGGTCAGCCTGCAATACACAACAAGACCCTGTCTCAAAAAAAAACAAAAAACCAAAACCAAACAAAAATCCCAACAATTAAGTCTTCCTTGCTTTGTACTGCCAGGTGTGGTGGTACACACCTACAAACTCATTAGTAGATCATGACATAAGGCCAGCCTGGGCTACATGAGCAGGTCCAAAGCTAGCCTACACTACACAGAATGAGATCTGTTAAAAAAAAAAAAGGAAAAGCAAATACAAGCACACATACATACACACAGTGCGCTCAGGTAGCGGAAGATTTAGAAGAGAATAACATTAGAAAGCAGTAACATACAGGAAGACCAATATATCTGGCCTTATAGCTTGCTGGCCACAGGGAAAAAAAAAATTAAAGAACAGAGAAATGGTTAAATAGCAGACTGTATAAGGTTGGTTAAAAACAAAACAAAAAAACAGGAACAGAAAAACTGGCAATACAATTAGGGAAAAATAGGGTGGTAACTAAAGAGACAGCCATGGCACAAGAGAGTTCTCTCCCAGACTCCTTCCCTCTCTCCATCATACACGGGTGAGGGTGAGGGTGAGGGTGAGGGTGAGGGTGGGGATGGGGGTGGGGGTGGGGGTGGAGGTGGGAGTGGAGGGTTGAGGCAGGGGCCTCATGCATGGTAGGCAAGTGTTCTACATCTCCAGTCCTTTTCTTATTTTTATTTTTGAGATGAGGTCTTGCTAAGTTGCTCAGGCACTGGCCTTAAGCTTCGGTTCCTCCTGCCTGAGTCTCCTGAGTGCCTGGAGTTACAGATGTACACCAACGCACAGGGCTCAATTATCTCTTCACATCACCTTTGAAGTGTTTGGCATTTTTATAACATGCCATAGAAAAGAAAACAAAGACAGTGGTTAAATAACTTACTTAGGATCACAAATCTAGGAACTGGCAAAGCCAAGAACTCAGTTTTTTGATATGAACCTCTATGCAGTCTGAAGAAAGGCCCTTATAAAGCCCTAAAACAATTGTTACTAGTCAGAAGAAACATATTAATAAGACTGTACATAGGCAGTTTAAGATAGAAGAAAATGTGAGACTACCTTCTTCTACAATAAAAAAGCTCAAACCATAAACATCTGAGATAAAATAGTCTTTCACAAGATTTTGGAACTGGGTTGTATTGGGTCTATTTTTAAAAAACAGAATTTGATAAACGAGTACTGTATCTTATTTTCCAGCAGTCATTTGATGAAATAAAATTTAAAGACCTCTTTAAGAAAAAAATCTTGATCCAGGCCTCATGGCGATATCAGTAATCCCAGCCCTTGGGAGGCTGAGGCAAGAGGATCAGCCTGAGTTCGAGGACAACCTGGGCTATCTAGTGAGTTCAAGGTCAGCCTAAACCAAATATCAAGAATCTGTTTCAAAAAATCCAAACTCTAAAACTAAAAACAAAATACAAAAGAAAAGAAAAAATTTTGAAGATTTTCAAACTGAGGTCATGCAGACAAAGATGAGAAATGAAAATTTAGAAATTATGTAGAAGCTATTCTACTTTAAGTAAAATAAGGTGAAATATACAAATACAAAGCTAAAAGGTTGGCCAGTGGGGTGATCATGGTTAGCATACACAAGATCCTGGTAGCTAAATGCCAGCACCAAACAAAAAAGTAAACAAGCAACAACAACAACAAAAAAGAATAAACCAACAAAAACCCTCAAGTCTTTTGGTTTTAAAAGTTTGGCTTCTGTGTTTGAGTTCACATAATTATTTGTGAATTTATTAATATAGAGAAAAGCAACAGCATCTCCATTAGAAAGTGGGGCCAAAAGAGGCAGCAAAGGGTGCTTTCTTCAATTCTGCCATTTAACAACTGTAATAAAATAGCCTCTGCCAGAGAGATCAGATATTATGTATTTCTGAAATCATATGTTTTAATTTTAAAATTACTCATTTTATACTTTGCCTATGTCTCATCATCAATGGGTAATTCAATAAGCAAAGAAGTTAACTTATAAATCATTGCCATTTTTGATAAGATGTTAATATGCTTCAAAGGACTGAAAATCATCACAAAAATGAAAGATTTTTAATTCCTTATACATGTCAAGTATTATCACTCTTAGCTTAATACCTTAATTGACAACACAAAGATACTTATATTGGAATAAAATGAATAATTAAATCTATTAACCAAAGCTTTAATTAACCTGTTACTTTTCAATGAATTTAGTGTTAACAAACATTACTTGAGCTTTACCAAGCATGATCAAATATGCCTCATGTATACAGGACCCTCTACATAAAAATTCAATAATTTAGACTTCCTTATGCCAACAATGTATTTTGGATTTCATAAAATTTAAGGTTAAATATCTATCTATCTAATTATATCTTTCTGTCACTACAAAGAATAAGAGGTATATCACAGAAATTCTGACTGGCAACAAAACTTTTTAATTATATGAAACCAAATATTAGAAGATAACACATTTAGACTGAAAAGAACAATGGAAATTTTAGTGGTCTTTAGCAGCTATTTAAATTCCCATCTTCAAAAAATGCAGTGGGGAAAAACCAACAGGTAGATGTACTCAAATAGCAAAGTACTAGAACCTAGGTAGCTAGTAGCTTGTCTTGGAGACAGGGCCTCGCTGTGTAGTTCAGGCTGGCCTTGAACTTGCTATGTAGTCCAAGCTATTAAACTCTCAGCAATCATCCTGCCTCAGCCTCCCAACCACTGGGATTACAGGTATGCATCACCACATCTGAAAAAAATATGTACTTTAAAATAGAAACTGGCTAAATTTAGCAGCTAAGACTGTATCAGTAATTATATATCTATTTCTTCACAAGGAGAATATTTTGTAGATTTTATTTTCCATTCTCAAATTATTTTTAGCAATAACTGCTTAAAGTCAATGATTCTTTTGTATTTCTTAAAATGCTTAAAAACTGCACAAAAATAAATTAGGCAACCTCCCTATCACACTTCTCACTACAGTGGGGGAAAAAACCACTGTATTTATGAGTTACTGAGAAACCAAGATAACTTTGTCTTAATGAGGTTTAATTCATTTTCACCTATGTATTGTGTTAAATAGTTTGCTTTTACAAATAGAAAAGATAATGAAACTTCTGTTTGGGAAATGATACAACATAGGATATTTCAAACACTGAAAACACTGGAAATTGGGTAGAGAAATATATTGGTGATGATCTCTTGACTTTTGCATTGCTTTTAGGAAAATTTCTTTTTTTTCTTTCTTTTTTTTTTTTGCAGAACCGGGGTTTGAACTCAGGCCCTTGCGCTTGCCAGGGAAGCGCTTATTCTACTGAGCCATCTCCCTGGCCCCTAGGAAAATTTCAGTACATGAAATAAATGCACTTATCAGTTATCAATTATCAAAAAGAAGCCTCTCGGCTTCTCCAGCTCTACAGTAAATCATTTTCCCACCCTAGCATAATATACCTGACAGACAATATTTAATGAACATACTACATCAAAATAAAAGAATGGGTCAAACATATCAGACCTTTTGGCAATTTAAAACTTAGTACAAGCAGGGATATCCAACATACAAATAATACAATAAATATCCATCTATGCTCTCTTTCTGATAGCTCCTACTAGTGCTTCTACATCCAATCTCCTATTATGGGCTGGTGTAGCATTCAAGAAAAGGTAACAAATAACATGGCCACATGCATAGCTAACTGCTTAAAATAAAACACTACCCAATTTCCAATGTTTCCAATGTTTGAAATATCCCATGTTGTATCATTTCCCAAACAGAAGTTTCATTACCTTTTCTACTTGTAAAATCAAACTGTGTAACACAATATATAAGTGAAAATGAATTAAACCTCATTAAGACAAAGTTATCTTGGTTTCTCAGTAACTCATAAAGCATCATTTTAAATTATTCTGTGTCATCTCCCACCTTATCATAATATAAAAAACAGTTTTGGGGAAACCCACTTTCTGGGCCTCCTCCTATCCCTTTCAGACAGCTTTCTTTCTTTCAACAAATTCTTCCACTGTTAAAGAAAAAAAAAAAAAAAAAGAAAGAAAGAAATACTCTGAAAAGATTAGGTCTCATAGCTAACAAAATCTCACATGCATGAAAAAGCAAATTGGTTTTTCATGATGATGATGATAAAATGATCTCATTTCATTTTAGTGGCATAATATTCACATCAAAAGTCATTCAAAGTTAACTTCAATAATATAGTATGCAAATAAATTTCATTTAAAAATTACTTTCAAATCTAGAAATCTATGCTGTAAAATACTGCTTTCTCATTGTATTGTAAGCTCTTAGGCCAAAATTCAAAGCAAATATGATCTTGTTAAAAAAGATAGACATTCATATCATACAAATGAGATATTTCCTAGATCTAATACTATATCCACCAAACAATGATCCTATATATTTAAAACAAATATTCCTAAATCAGAAATGGAATAGTAGTACATTTGAAATCTCACTTACCTGAATCTCACTTGTCCTCTCTTTAACAGTATCTTCCTTCTCCTTAAGGTCTTTTTCCACATTATTCTTTTCCCTAGAAGACCAGCAAACAATGCAAGAATATTTGAGAACATCAGCTACAGCTGGTATCGTTATCCATCCTCCTAATCCTGAATCGCTTTTTAAATACATAGTGAAACATTCAATAATTAAATGAAGGGCAGATATTTCTACCCTCTTTTAATTATTTATGGAATAGAAATCAATACAGACTTTGTAAAAAAAAATTGCTTCCTCACTAATATGTGGTGAAAAGAGAATAGATTAAAAAAGGAAGAAGAGAAAAATAATCAATGAAACACTCAGGTTTCACTGATCTCACTGTTGCTATGGAAATACTGTCCAATGAAAACTGCTGGTGAAGAAAAGGAGGGGTTGCATCAGCTCTCTAAGCTTAACTCTTAAATATCACTGTCAAATTAAATGAAAATTGCTAATAGAAACAGTGAACAATATTAAGGAAAAAGCCACTTATTGAAGTGTTAACTTTTCTTTAAGTCACCACTGCACATCAATATTAGAATGGAACAACACAGAGAAAACGGAAAAGATTGTTAGCACTGGTAATTTTTCTATCAAATACTAAACGTACTCACAAAAGCTATTTTGAGATCACCTACTAACACAACTAATCAAATATGTAAAATATATACATTTATAAAAAGGACTCATAGTAGCATTTATTTCTTCTCAAATTAAACACATGGGGTTCTACTTTTATTTTGAAATACCATTATCTAATTTCTTACATGCTTTGATAACAGCAGGCTTCCTATGAATGAATCTCTACCTTAGATTCAGAATTCAAAATAAAGATATTTCTTTTTATATAAGAAATTTAAATGCCTGTGTTTACAAAAAATCTGCACACCCCCCCAACAACACACACAGCTCCCACTCCTTTTTTTTTCCTACAAAAAGAAAGAAAAGTCCATAAAATCCTGTATGGGGGAGGGGGATTTTAAAAGATAACATGGAGAGAGAAGGATAGCATTTAAGAAGTCCTCCAACTGGTATTGCAGAGTTTCTCCTTAAAGCTTCATTACTATATTTCAGTCTCTAACGTAGATATAAATCAAATGTTATGCTCAGCCTCCTTTTAGCTCTAGCACAAAGGAAAGCGAGACAAATACACAAAAAGGAGAGACTTAAGGGGTAAACTGCATGCTTCGTATTTTTCACTCTTTTAAGTGATATTTTAAATGTAGACAAAAATCAACTGTTTCGGCTATGTAGGCACAACGATCTTAAGATTCATATAGAAGGGGGAAAAAGCACATAAAAAGAGCTATTTGTATACTGTTACTTTTAAAGGCTTGAGATGGCCAAGGAGCTCACTAACCGTTTGTCAGATGGGTTGCAATGTGGGTCGCGATGTCTCGGAGATTTTAAACAGTCCCTTACCATACGAATCATTGCTGCAATCCTTCCATCTCTCAATTACTTATTATGCAAAATTCATCCCCCACCTCAACCCTTATCAAATTAGATAAAATTGAAAAACAGAAAAACACAAGGGAAAAAATATTAAAATACCACACAAATTCTGCAAGCTCAATCTTGGAAATTTTTTCTTTTCTCTATGTGAGCAGATGAATGTTTTCAGTGCTGCTGCAGTCTATCAGAAATAAGTCACATGAAAATCTAGCCCCCTCCCTCTAACCCAAACCCTCAGAGGCTTTCCACACAAGGTCAATGTCATTTCAGCTCCATTTCAGACAGAAGACAGAAAGGACAAAAAACATGCCACAGTGTCGCATATCAGCACTGCACACCAGTGTGGGTGTGTGTGTTTTAGTTCTTCCTGCTCTGCTGCTAGCTCCTGTCCCAAATGTGTGTGCTCAGAAAACCCAGAATACATGGGGCTGCCTGAAGGCAGTGAGCTGACTTAAAGTAGCCACAGCAGAATGGCAGAGCACAGGAAGGCAGCCTGCTTGAGGAGAAAGGTCCATCAGCTCTCACCAGTAAACACTGTCCATGTCTGAGTAAAATGGAGGAAGCCTTGAAATTCTTTTCATAATTTAAGGGAGGGGAAGGGTTAGCAGCAGTGAAGTCTCCAAATGTACCCTGAAGCCCACTCCCAACTGAAAAAACTACGGGAGTCTTTAGGCATTCAGTATTAATTCTTCCTAATACAGAGATCAATGAAATTTGACTTTCAATTCAGGCTTATCTAATAAAATTTTGGTCTTATAATTACTTCTATAATTAAAACAAAGGACTATATTGCTAAAAAGAAAACAAAAAAACAAATGTGTCATTGTTTACAAAAGACATGTGCTGTATTTCAGATACAAAATAATTTTCTTTTAGACTTATAGTTCCAAAGATGCCAAACGGCTATTCTGTTGTCTTGTAATGGCTCTTAACTTCTGTAACTATCCTCTCATTTCAGGCAAGGAAACATACCTACATATAAATTTAGCTACACAAAAGATACCTACCCATATTTCTTAGATTCTCCCCTTTTAAAAACGTGTTTTCCAAAGGAGATGTTTGCATAACCAATATAAAGCATTTTGCATAACATCAATGATTTAAAGCTTAATTCTCTTTTCAAGGATCTGTGCCAAATAAAAAATAGTATTTATATGTAACTTTCCAAGGAGCACACCAATATATGCAGGTATGAAAGATGTAAGAGGGCCGGGGATATAATAAGCGCTTGCCTGTCAAGTGCAAGGGCCTGAGTTCAATCCCTGGTTCTGCCAAAAAAAAAAAAAAAAAAAAAAAAAAAAAAAAAATTTTACAAAAGACCATCTGAGGTAAAATGGAAAAATTCTTCATTCAAAAAATTACAATTGAGCTGGGTATGGCAGTGTATGCCAGTGTCCCAGCTACTTACATTTAAGGCCAACCTCAGCAATTTACAAGACCTTGACTTAAAATAAAAAGGATTGGGGATATAGCTAAATGGTAGGACTCATGTTTATCATGAGTGAGGCCCAGATTTTTCAAAAGTTGACAGGCCAGATTGTATGTAACCCAGTATCTGAACTACCAAAAGGCAAGGCCTAAGTTTTCAGAAACCTAAGGTTAATAGCAAATCTAGTATGAAGTAGTCAGAAGCTATTGACAAGGACAGTCAGGCTGAGGATCCGAGGCCACACAATTCATTTCCATTTTCCCAGGCTCTGTTTACGGGGAGAAGGAAGTGAGCCACATGTCTTAATTTTGATACAATTCCAGGATTATTGTGGAGAAAGAGTTAAGTCACCTTCAAAGTCCTCCACAGATACAGTCTTTCGTCTTTTTCCTGAACACAAGCCCAGTTGTTCTCTAACCAGAAAACAGTACAAATTAGAAACACCTGTAAACCAAAGAGCTGTAAGAACTTTATTTTTCAGTCTTGAGGCTTATTTATAAAAATCCTTTTGGTGCACATTTAACCCTAAGAATGTTCTTACTATTACATGCTTTACTACCAATTTCTTATCAGAAACAAAAAAAAAAAAGCATGTTAAAAGCATGTTATTGGGCTGGAGAGATGGCTCAGTGGTCTAAAGCACCTACTTGGAACAAGCTTGGCAAAGCACAGGGACCCGCGGTTCAATCCCCCAGCACCACATGCCAGCCAGCCCCGCCCCCTGGTGGGCTGAGCTGGCCACACAGACACACACACACAGACACACAATAAATAAATATAAATAAAAAAAAAATTTAAAAAAGAAAAAAAAAAGCATGTTATTTATTCTCATTTTGTAGTCTTCAGATGGCATTTGGGTCTTTCAGAGAGCAAGAAAATGAGCAAAAAAAAAAAAAAAAAAAAGTAGAGACCTGGATTCCAATCTCATTCCACTATCAAACAGTTTTTCTGACTCTATGCCACTTAATTTTTCAGAGCCCTCATCTTAGTTTTCATACATAAATGCTAACATCTCTATAATCTTAGGCTTGGAAGGAGAAATGTACAAAATGCCACGTAATTAGGAAAATAAGGCTTTAAGTTCTAATACTAATCTTACTTAGAATTTTAAATAATGGGGTAATTTTCAAATTTGTAAAAAGGACAGTTATAATAAAGCTGAGAAAGCAATCTCATACAGCTGTAGAATATATAATATAATCACTAATACTCATTGCCTCGAAATATTACCTGAGGATTAAGGATCTAGTTTAGTGGCGCAAGCACCTGGCTGCCAAGTGCAAGGTCCTGAGTTTGATTTCTGGTACCAAAATAAAATAAAATCTTATCTAAATATTCAAAATTATCTAACTATTCTCTACCTTTGAAAATTCAATATATGGTTTCCATGTATAGGATCTGAAGAAAAACAACCCAAAATTTAAAGGCTATCACATATCACAGATCATCTTAAGTCACTGTGGAAATAGCTATTGGTCTTCTTCTTCAGAAGGGGACTTCAGAAGTTCAATAGCCCAGCATTTCTTCAGGTCACAACTCTTCTTTCTCTCTCACTTCCTATTTTCTTCCCACACCATTTAAATAGAAGATATCATCTTTTTGTTGACTCTCTAAGCAAGAACTGGAGAATGGCTCCTGATCCAGTCTGACATAAAAGCATCCACCTCACAATTATTATTATTCTTACTTTTTTTTTTTTTTTTGGTGGAACTGGGGATTGAACTCAGGCCCTTGCACTTGCCAGGCAAGCACTTATTCTACTGAGCCACATCCCCAGCCCCCATCTCACAATTAAAACAATTGATTTAAATATAGAGTTGTGACCAAGTCTATCTAATATGACTTTATTTGAAACTAAATAAAAAGTTAAATAGTAATAAACTCTTTAGTAAGCTCTAGTCTTCTCATCTACCAACTGAACATTACAAAGCAGATGTGGACTTAATATGAAACATGAAAGAAAATATACTACAGAACCAAAACCAAAGGTACCCTATGCAACTTGAAAACCTTTGTACTGATTCAAAAATATTGAATTATTACTGTGCTTTACATTAGGGATACATAAAACAGTGGGATAGTTATTTACCATTAAGATGCTTTGAAAGCACAGCATGGTTGCAACATCCTGCAATCCCACCACTCTGGGAAGCTGAGAAAAAAGAAAT